ATTTTTTAAAAATATTTATTTATTTATTATGTATACAATATTCTGTCTGTGTGTATGCCTGCAGGCCAGAAGAGGGCACCAGACCCCATTACAGATGGTTGTGAGCCACCATGTGGTTGTTGGGAATTGAACTCAGGACCTTTGGAAGATCAGGCAATGCTCTTAACCTCTGAGCCATCTCTCCAGCCCCGATATATTTAAGATTTTATAATATGACCAATTCTAAGAGTTCTGTCAGCTACATCTGAGCCCTTGATGCATGTGAGAACCTTTATGGATATAAAGCCCACAAAGATTGCATGCATCCTGGCACCTCAAGTGAGAGGCAAAGGGAGTGGAGAGAGACGTCGCATACCTTTGGAACAGGCACGTGGACATTGGCCTGCTTTGTTCTATCTCTCTGCTTCAGATTCCTGTTTCTCTTTCAGCCCAGGCCATCCCTCTGCCTTGCTTTTCTCAGACCAACCCTGTGGCTGCCACACAGTAGGACTGCAGTGAGAGGCAGCCTGTGGCAGGAGGCTAAGCTGGGCTCCCCATCTGCAGTCACACTATGTGGCCATCCTGGGAAACAGCACACAGTAAAGCTGCCCTTTGTGTCCTCAGTTTACCTACCTGTGCACACAGATTTCCCAGCCCTAGCTAAGCCAACTTTTGAGCTGGATCATTTTTACCATAAGCGATAACTATCCTTTGTGTAACATGAAGGCCTGTTAGTTGGGGTTTTTGTCCCGTCTGGTTCCCCAGCCATTTAGTCCCAGAGAAAATCACACAGAGAGTCTGTATCAGCTTAAAAATTGATTGGTCCATTATCTTAGGCTTTGTATTAGCTTTTATAACTTATATTAACCCATTATTTTAGTATATGTTTTTTAGCAGGGCAGATTACATTTTGCTTCTTTGGTGGTCTGGGCAGGACTGTGGAGGGATGGGCTTCCTCCTTTTTAGCATTTTTCTGTTCTTGTTGCCCCGCCTCTACTTTTTGTTTGGTTAACCCGCCTATACTTTCTGCCTGGCCAATCAGCATTTATTTGAAACATGATTGACAAAATAAAGACAATTCTCCCATACTACCTCCATTCCAGGGTTTTCAACAGCTTCACCCGTGTCTCCTTATAAGATAGATGCCTGTTATGTCTCTTCTCAGCTGTAGAAGCCAGAAAAGTTTTGACACCTTGAATGCTGCTTGCCTGTGGCTCTGAGGCCCCACTCAGCCCACGGCTGCTTCCTGAGATTTTGAGGTTAAGTCAGGAAAGGCAGGACTTCTGCAGAGACCTCAGAAGCGCACTGCTGCCATCTGCTGGACTCTTGTGGTCTGCAATCCCTCTCATGCAAATTGGTATCTGGAGGATGGCCCTGAAAATAGATGGAAATATAAGAATGTGAGGTTCGTGTGCGCGATCAGTACAAGAGTCAAGTCAGGGAAGAATGCAGGCTTGGGAGCTGGTGTGACCCTGCTTGGAGAGGTGTGGGTTTCCTTACTCATGGTGATCTCAGTGAAGAGAGACAGGATGACTCTCAGGGACACGACATCCATTCCCACATGAATAGTGAGAATGAGGTTTTTTTTTACCATGGTCTCTGGGACAGACGCTCAGAAGCAACTGACGCTACTGTGCCTTGTAGCTTGCTGATGTGCCCTCTGTGTACTCAGGCCTCCCCTTCCCCGCCCTGGGGCTTCCCGTGTGGCTGTTGGATGTATCCCTGAGTGTGTCTTGAATTTAGATAGGGTAAGTCCACCAGCTTTCTTCCCCCCTTTGTAAATAGTGGCTTTGATTCTCTCTGATTTTACCTGAATTACCCCCATCCCCACAGAGTACAAATCTGAGAGAGAAGAACTTCATGTTCTCTTAGCCAAACCCATTCAAACCGGTGCTGTCTGGCATATACAGTGGGTAAGCCATTGAAATTCGGGGCCCATGATTAGGAACTGGAATGGTTAATTTTTTTTTCTGTTTATTTATTTTTTAAAGATTTCTGTCTCTTCCCAGCCTTGGTTAAATTTTTAAAAATCTGAATTTCTGACTTCCTTGAAGAACGGGGGTTGCTTCTGAAGTCATCTTTGGGTGATACACTACAGCGGAATATCATCCATACCTTCCAGCCAGAGTGGAGTCCCATGGCCAGGAGAATGTGGTTTCCAGGACAGCAATGGAACCTTTGTCCGCTCAGCATGCAGGGTCAGTAGCATCTGCTGTGTGCGGGTGACCGCTAAGAACTGATGTAAGTGCCTGGCCCCAGGCCTCCCCCTCCTCCTCTGACATCATTTGTCCACGTGTGCTGCTGAATGACGCTCATCTGCCAGGTGAACTTGCAGTGTGTTCTAAACAAATAAACAAGCAGCAAGGGACAGGCACACCGAAAGCTTTTCTGTCCAATCCAGCGGTATCACATCCATACTTCCCATAAAGATTTGTCACCACTTGGCCTCCTGTGAACACAGCCTTGGCACTTGTCATATTCTGGGCAGTGATGACCTGATATCAGACTCCCCAGGAAGCAGACAAGGAGGTTTTCCACAAGCTCCTGTGATCGCCTTATTGCCATTGTAATGACCTGGTTCTGTGATGTTCTGGGGACTCTTTCTTTGAGGAGATGTAAAGTAGCCATAGGCATGGACAGCTTCCTCATAGCTGCACAGATGGGGTGCAGCCTTTTGATGGCTATGCACTCTAACACTGTGTTGACCATGAAAACCCCATGCAGCGAGAGTAGACTCCTACAACTGACTGGAAGTGCAGATAGAGTGGCCAGGATCTCAAGTGAGGCTCCGATGACCCTCCCACTGTCTCCTTCTAGGAGAGAATGTCATGTCAACAGGCCTGATCTTGATCTCTTTCCAGTTGTCAAAAGATGCTTTCAGGGAGGCAGGGAAAGAGGGGGGAATGGAGGGTGACAGAGATAGAGAGATGCATGGCAAATGAGCCACGCTGCTGCGGTTCCTGCTGCCTTTTGAGCCACGCTGTCATTCTTTGGGTTGTTTGTTTGCCTTTTAAACCTAATGTGTTCAAAGTACCTTCAGGCACATCTGACCCTGCCACCTCTGGCACCCCATTATTCCGGATGACATGGAATGCCCAGCTTCTCTGTTCCCTGACTTCCCACTCATATACCCGTGGCAGGCTGGAAACCTGCGTTCTCCTCGCCCATCCAGGAATGTCTCTCTCCAGTGTCTCCTCCCTGCAGTGTGAGGAAGAGGGTCTACAGCTGTTTTTTTTTTCCCCAGAGGGTTTCCGTGACAACAGGAACTGTGGCTGAACTGTGGCTTCTAGTGGAACTGTGGCTGTGTCTTCTCTCATCTCTTTAGCCTCCCTCAAAAGTCTGATCTAGTTGCCTAGCTACTGAATTTCCGTGTGTCCCAGCTGCGCTCTCCCTTCAGCGTGGAGCACCAGCTATGCTTGTCTATAGGGGAGAACAGCCACATGAGGCCACTACTCCAAGACCGGAGCCACAGAACTCTCATTGCCATCCTATCCCTCTGCTCTTCTTGTGTTTGGCAGTTCATTCCTTTCTGGAATGTTCCATGCCCTTCCTCAGGACCTACTCCAGAGCCCGAGATCTGATTCCAGGGCTGTGTGCCTGCATAGCATGGGGCAGGGGTCGATTTCAGGACAGTGCTTGCTCAACTTGCTGTTGAGCAGAACTTCCCGCCCCTCAATATTGAGAATTTTCAGGTGCCAAAATGCAAGCTGTTGCACAGGGCTTCTCTTCTTTGACTCTGCAGGGAAGGCTCGGCTTGGAGAGGATGGGCCCTTTGTGGTGTGGCCAGGGCTCTCTCCTCTCTGTTTCCAGACTTGGCAACTTCTATTTCTGTCTGTGGGAAGAGGTGTCCGGTGAGATGTGGCTCTGGCATTGTCAGAAGAGCCAAGGGGCTCACGAGAAGGCTCAGTATGTAGAGGTGCTTACTGCGCAAGCCTGGAGACCCTGGAGTTTGATCCCTGGAACCCTCATAAAGGTGGAGAGATAACTGACTCCATGGTGTTCTCTGCCCCCCCCAACAAATCAATCAATCAATCAATGAATCAATTTAAAACTAAGAAGAGCAAAGGGCCAGGTGAACTTCCCATACCTCAAATCTCCCTTTTCACTCGAAGTCCCAGGACAAGTTTTAGGTTCACCTGAGCCCACAGCCAAGGTTGAGTTGAACTGATCCCCAAGTGTTTACTATGAGCTGATTGGCCAGTTATCAGGCCCAGATTGGGAGCTCCTTCATGGCCCATTGCCCCTCCAAACCCCCATCTCTGTCCTAACATGCCAGGGGCAGGCATCAGAAGCCAAAGGGCAGCCAGTGCATGCTCACAGTGGGGACACACTGTGTGTCCTAGGAGAGAGAAGTGACAGGTGCCAGAAAAGACATGGCTCCAATCTTGGGGCAAGTGGTGGGGCCTGACTGGTGTCTGGGTACCCCTGGTGTCTGAACAGAAAAGCCCTTCTTGGGGGAGTGGAGAGGTGAGCGATGGGAATACCCCAGTGGGACACACTTCTCGCCTTGTCCTGGTGTTCACGTGCTGGACCCTAGCTGGTCCAGACCTGCAGTTGACCTATGACCTACCCCTTTTACTGCTAATCTCATCTCCATACTAGACGTGCTAGCCTTAGGGTCCCAAGTGTGACATCTCAGGGGTTCCAGTCTCAGAAATTACATTCTACAGCTGAACCGCGGAGGCGCTGGGCAGTCTCCCACCCTCATTTGATGGCATCTGGCCTGTGAGAACTAGCTCTCTCTGCAGCGACAGCGCCACCATTCCTCACAGTGACACTTGCCTCCTGAGGACACCCGTGTTTGCTGCGCTTGTTCTAGTGTGATCCTTTATTTTGGGGCAGGAGTCAGCCAACTGAAGCCCGGAAAAGGTTAAGTTTACACTCACAAAGCACATTCTCTTATGGTCTTTCCTAGGAAAACCCATGACACAAATACAAAGAAGCAAACCATCCGAGAGTGCCCTGGGAGGGTAGAGGGGTGTTGTCCTGGGGGAGGCTGGCTCACTTCCTGTGAGGAATCTGTGTTGTACCCATGGTCCTCTTCGTTAATCATTAGCTGATCTGGAGACAGCAAGTGGGGAGCAGAAGGTTTTATTTTCCCAAGTGCCACAAGCCACTCTGCCACTCAGAGAGCCACCCAGAGCCACTCCAGGACGGACTGTGTCGTGAGTAACCCAGGGATAAGGGGAACAATGTCAAAAGAGGGTGGCTTGCCATCCTGGTTTGCCCAAGACCAGAAGTTCTTTCTAGGTCATGGGACCTCAGAGCTAAAGCCGGGACATGTGGGGCCAACTGGACAGCTGGTCACCCTCCCTACATGTTAGAAATGCTGAGACTAGATACAAACCCTGGTGTACCCGTGTTCAGTGCCCCTGCTCCTCTGCTAGGCCACTGGCATTTGAGCCCCTAAAATTTCCACATAGCTACCCCATGGTGACATCAGCCAAATCTTGTTCTTCCGAAACTCCCAGAGCAGGTGATGTTGACATACCAGAGGGCATTCTGGGTAATTCACTTAAAGCCACAGAACAGTACACAATTCTGGGGCTGGGCTTAAGAAACTTTGTAAGGAAGGGAGAGTCTAAAACGCTAAATGTGTTGTTGAATCCTTCTTCCCATGACAAAAGCCAGGCAGGGAGAGCTAAGGCTGCGGTTGTGTCCAAGGTCAGCAAAGTACAGTTTCAAGATTCAAATGTGGCCCACTCTGCAAACAAAGAACCAAAGATGCCGAATGCCAATATGAAAATTCTAGTTTGGAAACAGAAGTTAAAAATGAATGTAAGAATTATCATCGAATCATGTCATTGAATGTGGTGACTCAAGCCTGTAATCCCTGTTATTCACAAGATTGAAGCTAGACACCATCTTCAACGCCTTCTAGTTTTAGAGAGTGAGTTAGTTCAAGCCTGCCCTGAGCATCTTAGTGAGATGGTATCTCAAGGCAAAAGGCAGGAATCCAGGTGGGTCTTTCATTGTACCTGCCACCATGTGTTCTCACACTGCACTAAAAAATGTACCAAGGAGGGCAGGCTTGGGAGATGGCTCAGTCAAGAGCACTCACTGCTCTTGCCTAGGACCTGGGTTCCATTCCCAGCACGCACATCAGACAGTTTACCTATAACTCTAGTTCTGAGTAATCCAGCCCCCTTTGGTCTCCTATGTGCACATATGCTCACGTAGGCACACACACACACACATACATACATAAATAAAAGTAAACAAATCTTTTCTTAAAGTTGAAAAAAATGACTGGGGACACTAGAGTTAAAACCCAATGGTATGACATTTCCTAGGATGCACAAGGCCCAGAGATCGATTCCTAGTATTAGAAAAAAGAAGAAAAATAGATAATGTTTTGTGACACCCTAAGGTTAATTTGAATTCAAGACTACAGAGTCCGTGCATAGAGTGTTGTCAAAAGTGCTTGCCTTGCCCACAGTTGCTTCCCAGTGTCCAGGGAGGAGTGAATCATGGCCGAAGAGACTGGCTTGCAAGGCCATGGATGATACTATCTAGTTCTTTGTGGGAAGTTTCTCAACCCTAGTCTGAGGGAGTCTGAGGGAAGACAAGGATCCTTTTGTGTAGGGTATTGGGGTCCAAAGAGAAACTGAGGCTATGCCATGGGAAGTGGGGGGAAGGCCAGAGACATGAGCAGGGTAGTCATGGGTGGCCAAGAACCTAGCAGTAGTAGGACCATTGGGTGGAACAAGGATAGATTCAGTGTGGAAAACTGAATAGCCTGTCTTGGTCAGGTCAAGACCATTTTAAGAAGGGAATCACTCTCACCATTGTAACGGTAGGCCAAGTTCTTCATTGACATCGCTTTCCTCTTCCAGATGGGGCAATGGGAGGGAGACAGCCCTTCCTGTTCCCACCTGGGAAAAAAAAGCCAAGGAAGTGAAGGAGAGAGGTCTTCAGACTGGGCAGCACAGGGAGGAAGGACAGAGGTGGTGTTCACACCTTCCTCATCCTCATCCTTTCCCTGAATGACCTCACAAAGGCCAGGGAAAGAACAGAAAGGAGGGAACAGTGCCTGGGAGAGGGAGTCCAGCTCTGCCTGGACCTATGCAAGTCGGGTTTGGACCCTTCCTTTCCTGAATCTAGGCAAGCTCACAGCGGTGGCAAATAAAATGAGACGGGGGCATCGGCGTGTGCTTTGCGAATCTAAAGCTATGTCATCACACGCATGCGCTGAGGGTGCTGGCATTCCCTGCCATCCTCTGACAGAGCTGAGCACGAGCCTCTATCCCGAGTGTGTGCAAAGTCAATAAACATGGAGAAATAGGCCAACACAGGGGCTTTATTAGGAAATAGCAGGAGTAGTGGGGCTAACTCCAGAACACACTGAAAACATTTGGGCATCTTCGTATTGGGAAGACATGTCGTTACATGTAGAAGAGATCACATGTCGTGTGTTCAAAGATGCCTCACAGGAGAATGTTTGGATTTATTTATTTATTTATTTATTTATTAAAGATTTCTGCCTCCTCCCCGCCACCGCCTCCCATTTCCCTCCCCGTCCCCCAATCAAGTCCCCCTCCCACATCAGCCAAAAGAACAATCAGGGTTCCCTGCCCTGTGGGAAGTCCAAGGACCACCCACCTCCATCCAGGTCTAGTAAGGTGAGCATCCAAACTGCCTAGGCTCCCACAAAGCCAGTACATGCAGTAAGATCAAAACCCAGTGCCATTGTTCTTGAGTTCTCAGTAGTCCTCATTCAGAATTTAGCTCTAGCTTGAGGTTAATTCTAGGTCAGTAGAAGAAGGGTTAGACAGCTCCAACTGGCTTGAACCAGTCCCTTGATGGTTTCCTAAGGAATCTCACTTGAAGTAAGCAAACAAATACAGCAATTTAAATAGATATTTACATTTACATGGCTGTCTCCCCACAACTAGTCCCGCAAACTCTGGACCTAGTGAATGAATCCCCCCACCCCTGGGGCCCTGCCTGCTGCTGTCAGCTCAGCAGGGGTCCTGTCTGTTGCTGGAACGGGGTGGGGTGTCATTTTCTCTGCAGACCCAAGAGATCCAGTATGCATCGCACCCTCTGCCTACTCCTTCTGGCTGGATACCTGCTGCTTTCTCACTGTGAGCCAGCCCAAGAGTCCGACAACACATCCAACCAGACCTTTACAGAGTCCTCACAGTTGAATGTCTCCAGCTACCAGATCATTGCCCCTGGCAATGCCGACTTTGCGTTCCGTCTCTACCACCTGGTGGCCGCCCAAAACTCTGAGAAGAACATCTTCTTCTCCCCACTCAGCATCTCCATCTCCTTGGCCATGCTGTCCACAGGGGCTGGTGGGGACACCCAGACCCAGATCCTTGAAGGCCTGGGCTTCAACCTCACCGAGCTGTCACAGCCTGAAATCCATGAGGGCTTCAGGCTCATGCAGGGCATGATAAGTCGTCCATCTCCTGAGATGGACATCTCTGTAGGCAACGCGCTGATCCTTAGCCAGGACCTGCAGCCTCTCCCTGAGTTTGTCAGCACCACGGAAGCCTCCTATAACAGCAAAGTCTTACTCGGTAACTTCGGAGACACGAAGGCTACGATCCAGCTCATCAACAACTATGTCAAGGAGAAAACCCGTGGAAAGATCAAGGATTTGATCAAAGACCTGAGCCCCAGCGTAAGGATGGTTCTGGTGAATTTTGTCTTCTTCCGAGGTGAGCTCAACAAGGTGCCAGCCCACTGCTGAGCATATGCTCCTGAAGGAAGGTGGGCAAGGGTGGGGGGTTGCAGCCCCCAGGCAACGCTAGCTCTTTCCACGGCCTCTCTTCTTCTGAAGACCTCCAGAGCTCAATGGAACGCAGTCTACTTTGCAAGCTCAGCATTTTTATGTTTATTCTCGAGGGACGAGTGCATGCCACAGCGCACTTGTGGAGGTCAGAGGACAACCCGTGGGAGTTGGTTCTCTCTTTTCATCGTGTGTTTCCTGAAGGTCACACTCAGGTCATGAGACTTGGTGGCGACACCGCTGTGTCGTCCATGATCTCCGGGGCTCCAAATCTCAGCGTGTAACCGGCTCTGACTCAGGATCCACAGGGAACAAAATGTAAACATTCTGAGACAATAAGCCAGGCAGATTAGTCTCCACACCTGTGGGTCACATGCGGCATGCTCACAGACCGCTGACCACTCAAAAATAACGCTCTCTTAGTGATTCATTTTGCTGGCTTTTTTTTTTCTGTTGTTATTCTTTGTTTAGTTGTATGTCCGTGTATGGGTAATGTGCCTGTAAGTACAGATGTTAACCAAAGTCAGAGGTACTGGATCTCCTGGAGCCAGAGTTGCATCTGGCTGTGAGCCAGCACATAGGTGTTGGGAATCAAGCCCCAGCCCTTTGGAAAAGCAACCGGTTTTCTTCACTGCTGTTCGGCGGTCTCTCTAGCCTAAAGGTTCCTAATGCTGCCACCCTTTAATAAGGATCCTCATGTGGTGACCCCCAAACCTAAAATTAGTTTTGCTACTGCTTCATAACTGTAATTTTTGCTACGGTTATTAATCATCATGAAAATGTTTTTAGACATAGAGGTTTGTCAAGGGGATCGTGGCTAAAGCTAAGAGTGACTCTTTGATTATTCTCAATTGAATCAAACTGCTGATTGACATCAAAAATTCTTCCCAGATGGCTTGAATTGGGCACAGTAACAGTGAGGCAGGGTCTTCAGCGGCTATACCCTGGTTCTGAGCAGCAGGTGGCACTCCCTGAAGGAAGATTGGCTTCTCTGTCTCCCTTACACCCTCAGGTCTGTGGAAGAAACCTTTCTCTTCCGAAAAAGTCACTGTGAGTAACTTCTACGTGGATGAGAAGACGGTCGTGCAGGTCCCCATGATGCTGCAAGCTGACGAGGAACACTGGTTTCTGGATGACAGACGTGTGCCCTGCACGGTTCTGCGGATGGAATACAAAGGCGATGGCGCCACAGCGTTTTTCATCCTTCCTCAGAAGGGCAAGATGGAGGAGGTGGAGCACATGCTGTCCCCAGGCATGCTGGCAAGGTGGAACCACTTGCTTCAGAATAGGTAATCAGGATGTCACAGGCTGTTCAATCTACATGATACCTGCAAATGGTGAAACTCAGTGACCAGAAATTGCAGTGAGCGCTGCTCTGTGAAGGCATTGGCCCTGGCTGCCAGACTCCCCTTGAAGCTTCTTAGACAGTGACCTCTCCCATGGTGGCTAGTACAGGGTCCCAGTCTCAGTGGAGAAAACCATTCTAGAGTTAGGCGCCTTGAGTTCTTCTGTTGCACCGGTCTTTGGTAGAGTGGCTTTCCCTTTGAGGGTCAATCCTAGTACAGTGACTATGGGAACTGCCTGAGCTGATGTTGAAGGGTTAAGAAAATTCTACCCACCCACCTGATTCCACAGAGAGAATGAGAGAGAAGAGGGAGGGAGGAAGAGGAACTTCCCATGCCCCTTTCGGGGACTTTTACAGAAAGGTTTTGTTGCAGTTCCCTAAACTCTGCATTTCAAACTCCTAGGCATTTGATGAGATTTTGCTAGACCTGGGTTTCCAGGGCCCTTTCACCGGGCATGCTTACAGAGGTGCTTCTGGTGGCTAAACTCGGGTGAAACAAAGGTGATCCTTCTTCTGAGGAGGGCTCAGACCAGCTGGGCCCCCAGCTGCTTCAAGCAAGGCAGCTGCTCCTCACTCTGAAGCCCTGGGGAGAAGTGTTTCTAGTTGTACAGAAGAAAAGACTAGTCAGAGGCCTCATTCAGGCAGGGGTTCATATCAGCCGAGACAGGAAATCAACCAATAGAAATCAGCCAGTCCAGAGCAGAAGTGACCCACCACTGAAGAAGCAAAGGCAGGCTGCCACAGGAAGGGGCTGGTACTTGTCTCTCGGGGTACCTGTACCCCGCTACAATACAGCCTCTAGGAAAGGTGAGTGTCCAAAGGCAGTAATGACCTTAGATATACTACAGCCAACTCAGGAATGCTAAGAGAAATCAGTCTTCCCCTGAGGAAAACTCCTTAATTGGTTGTCCAATACAGAGTGGCCAGCCCTGAAATCACATACATATAAGAATCCCTAAGCGGAGGAACTAGAGAAAGGGAAAAGGAAGGATGAAATGGTGTGATTATATTTCAGCAAAAAATCTATTCCCCTAGATAGCTAAGTAGACATCTGTGGCCTGTCGCAGTATAGGCACCTAGCTAAGGTGGTGCCTGACTCACGGGTGCTTTTGAAAGCCAAACTCAAGTGGAGTAGGGTCATTTTCCTCTGAAGAAGGTTCACATCAACAAGGGCCCAGTTGCTTCAGGAATCTAATGTTTTGAACTGGAGAGGTGGCTCAGACAATGGAGAACCTGAGTCTGAATTGCAGAACTCATAGTTTTAAAAAAGGCCAGGCATGAGGGCAGGTGCCTGTCGTCCCGGGAGACAGGTGGGTTCCTGCGGTTTGCGCACTAGTCAGCCTACTTGTTTCAAGATGATGAAAACCCTGTTCCAGTGACCTGAAGTTTGTCCTCTGCCACTCATGTGCACCTGTACCACACACACACACACACACACACACACACACACACACACACACACACATACACACACGAGAGGGAGGGAGAGAGAGAGAGAGAGAGAGAGAGAGAGAGAGAGAGAGAGAGAGAGAGAGAGAATCTAATATGCCTCCTCTCCATGCCCCTTCAGGAACTTTTACAGAAAGCTTACACTGCACTTCCCCAAATTCTCCATTGCAAATTCCTACTCATTAGAAGAGATTTTGCCCTACCTGGGTTTCCAGGACCTGTTCACCCAGCACGCTGACTTCTCGCGCATCAACGAAGAGGAGAAATTGCAGCTATCCCAAGTAAGTAATAAAGCATCATCGTCCCTATAGACCTCTGTGGAAAGTGCTGGGCAATAGAAATCCTCCCTGCTACTCCATGTTCTCTGGGAGCCTGAGCATGCTTAGTCTTCCATAGGTATGAGCATTTCTACAGGGGTGCACCAGTTGCTGGTCACAGTCTCTGTGTGAAGATAAGATGACAATGGGCCAGCCCATGTCCTCAGATGCTGCTGGGTCAGGCCAGGGGTCTGGCACTTGGCTGTGTCAGAGCAACAGAGAGTGAAAGATACACTATAGGAACAGCAAAAGGAGGCTGAAGCCTGTAGCCGTGTGTTTTTAAAGGAGAGCCAGTGATCCCTGATTAATGTGGGGGGTAGACATATTAATGGGTATACCCAAGGAGAGGAGTCTGAATTTCTGCCTTGCTCCTTACCTTGGGATGTTGCCTGACTGTTGATTTTATTATCCCTATCCCTAAAGTGATGCCACTGACCTCCTAGGAGGTGACATGCATACAAAGGCACAGTGAGGGGCTGGGGAGTGACATTTATTATTACTGTGCATTGAGAAGAGGCGGTGAAGCCTGTAATTTCTCTCTTAGGTTTTCCACAAGGCCACCCTGGATGTGAATGAAGTTGGCACGGAGGCTGCGGCAGCCACTGGTACCTCTGCCATGTTTATGTCTGCCAAGCACAAGAGACACATCCTTGTATTCAACCGGCCATTCTTCGCAGTGATATATTCCACCAGCACCAAGAATATCCTCTTCATGGGGAAGGTGTTCAACCCCACAGCATAGCTGTCCCAGGACTAGCTGGTCTGCCCCCAGCAAGAGGATGTGGCTTGGGAGGGCTCAGGATGAACATCCATCCATAACTGAGGGCAGGGAAGGGTCCCGCCCTCCAAAGAGGAGCCAATGGTACAAGAAAGGGCAGGGCAAGATGAGCTAGAAAGAGAGAGAGGCCCTCCTGGGGGTGGGGCTCAGACTCATTAAACCAATGACAGCTCTGAAACCCTGGTGTGTGTGTGTGTGTGTGTGTGTGTGTGTGTGTGTGTGTGTGTGGTGCTTCACATGTAGCAGACACAGACATGGCTTTTGCCTGTCCCTCCGGGCCTTACCCTTAGCAAACCTGGCCCCAGACAATGGAATACAAGGTGCTCAAGTCCCATATGGCTGCCCAGGCATGTAGAGAAAAGAAGTCAGCTGACTGAGTGCAGTTAGTGTTTCCTTTCCAGAAGAGTGACTGAGAACCTTTGGTTGGAAGACTCCCAACAGAAGCAGCCTGAGCTGCTTAGACCCTGGCCTAGTGTTCTTGTTACCTTTGCCTCTTTGTGACAATGTCTACCAGAAGCAGCTTGATTTAATCCTTGAAGAAAGGATTTAGATTGGTTTGCTGTTTCAGAGGGCTCTGTCTACAATGGTAGAGAAAGCCTGGCAACAACCTCAGTTCGTGGTGATGGTGGGGTGATGGAGGAGGTTGCTCGTATCATGGTGGACCAGAAAACAGACAAAGTTCTGAGGCCAGGACCAAGGGTTGGATCCAATTTTCAAAAGCCCACCCCCCAGAGATTCACTTCAACAGACAAGTTAGATAAGTTAACCCCCAACTGTTAGACATCCCACAGCCTCATAAGATAGTGCTGCCAGCTGGGAAATGTGTTCAAATCATAGCCCGTGGGGACGCTTCAGTTCCTACCACAATATCCAATGAGGAAGGCTCAGAGGGGTATGACGCCTGTGGCCTGAGATATGGCTAGTGCCACTCCTAGCATAGACAGCTGTGGCCAGCAGCATGCTGCGGGAACATGAAACTAGAGCCAGGAGAAGCATTGTTAATGTATTGACCCTGCTGCTGATGTGGGCCAGGATTTCAAGAGAATCCTTCCCTTCCCTCTTGGAGAGGCTCAGTTTCTCCGGGAGAGTGATGTATTATACCCCTCTGCCCTTGACCTAGCTCAGATCATTTCAAAAGTAGTGAAAGCTCTCCAAGGAGGGTCGCTTCTAGAATCTGGGTGAACAAAACTACCCGTGGAGGAGACAGGCTGGCAGGAACTGGTTTTGTTTGCAGCAAACCTCTGATTTCCAGCAGATGCCTTCTCTAGGCCACACCCTGGGGACTCACAGGGGCTAGGGTGCCTAGCACCAGGCTGAGATCCAACATGGCCTCTCTGATCCAACATGGTCAACATGGAGTCCCAGGACAGTGAGAGCTGAGAACAGTGCAGCCAAGAGGGAGCCTCAGCCAAGAGGGGGCCTTACTCGTTCTCTAGATCCAGATCACTCCCTGCTTTTATGTCCAGGGTGAGAACTCCCATAATGCTTTGCCTCCAGCTGTTTATACTTCATCTATAAGCTAGGTGGCTCGTTTTACTCCCGTTGCATTGTCAGCGTCACAAATTGTGGTTTTAGTTCTGCTTCTCTGGACCTCAGTACCCTCACCGATGAGATGGGACAAGTTTAGGTAGCTGCCTCTGCTACATGGAATCACACTTCCTATGTGTGGGAAACCTTAAATTGGGACTATGCATCCACCAGCCCTGTTTCTCTTTCCATGAGCCCCACATCCCAGACACCCAGTGCTGCTCATGCCACCTCTGAGCTTCAGTTTGTCCCTACCCAGGTCAACTCCCCTTATGCATCCCAGGTAAGTTTCTTTTGGACATACTTGCTATTCAGACATGAACACAACATCCCAATATGGGGGTAGGTCTGAGCCTGAGGACATTTTCTTGGCCCTTCTCTTCCTATTACCAATTCTTTTCCTGATTGCGCTTCCAGAAGGTTCTAGATCAGCAATCAGCTCCACACCTCTCCCCTTTATCTCTGTAGGTCAAACTGAGGAAGAACCTCTCCTCACAGTTTGTTCAGGGTGGAAATTGGGGCTATGGCCAAATCAAGGCATTTTTCCAGACTTCCAGATTAGGAGGCCACCGACCACACCCACTCTGAGGGACTTCATGATGTCCAGAGCACTTAGAGATGGATCTGAAAATTCAGCCCATGGCTGGAGAACAGGACCCAGGGTCCCTGACCCTCGTCTGTAGCATACATGAAGCACCATATCACAAAGACAGAGTGGTCATTGGTGGCCCAGGAGAGCAAGTTGTAGAGCTCCCTCCAGCTAACACCCATTCAAAACTCAGGGTACACCAGGGACTGCAAAGCCACAAATCCAGTAACAGGCTGGTTGCAAGGAAACCAAGGCAAAGAGCAAGGAATAACCCTTCAGCTCACAATATAAAATGTTGCTAAAGGAAGTGGCTAGGGCAGGACCAAGGTGGCTGTTCCCCACTCAGGCCTCCAAAGCACAGCTTCCAAGTCAGCCTCAGGAGAACAAGGACGAAGAAGGGTCCCAAAGGGGGCCATTGGCTGACAGTTCTGGGGCTCACTACCCCTCTTCCAGGTTACACCCACAATCATATAAATGCTTAGGACTCAAGAGGCCCTGCGGATCACAGAACTGCCTGGCTGAGCTCATGACAAATTGGAGTCTGGTTTTCAACAACCCTGTAGGAGCTAAAGTTAGACCTAGGCTGGCTTACACCCCTTTCCACCCCACAGACACAGGCGGGTGAATGAGTAGAAGAAGGTTAGCTGGGGGCAGTCTAGGTTTCCTTATGGCAGCAAGCCTGCCAGAGTGATGTGTGAATGTGTGAGATGCTGGTGTGATGAAGGGGAGAAGATGAAAGTGCCTAACCCTCAAGTCAAGGAGATTGCTTTCTGGTCCTGATGCTGATGCTGGTCCTGATGCTGATGCTGATGCTGGTCCTGATGCTGATGCTGGTCCTGATGCTGATGCTGGTCCTGATGCTGATGCTGGTCCTGATGCTGATGCTGTGCTCATTTCTTTCTCACTCTAAAACAGTCAGTGGCTCCCTATTGAATACAGGTTCAAAGTCCTCCGTTAACAGTCAAGGCCTCTCTGGTCTGAGGCTAGCTGCCTCTCCGGTACTGTGTGTCATGTGATTTTAACCACAGGTTGTTTTCATTTCCTACTTCTACGAGCTTCTCATCTCCAAATCTCTCTCTTAAGGCACTTATCTGAGAGCCCATACACTACCAGGTTGTTCATAGCCCTCCTCAAGCCAGACTGGCCTCGTGTCATCATTCATAGCTAGCCTGAGCATCACTTTTGTCCCTAACTTACTCTAGTGCCTACCAGGTGGGACATCTTTGAGACAGGACCTTGTTATCCCCAAATTTCCAAAGCTCCCCTGGCCTTAGGCAATCTGCATAGCACAAGCCCAGTCAGAAAAATGAATGAATGAATGGATGGATGGATGGATGGATGGATGAATGAATGGATGGATGAATGAAAAAGCAATGGATGGAAGTTTACTGAGTTATGTTTGTATCACCTTTGGCCCAGGATCAGACAAATATCGAGTTCAGTTGCTCAGGTTTTCATTGCTTTGATGCTACACCAACTCCAGTGTCGTCTGTGTGACATGACATATGTCATTATGCCGGACAGGAGCTATGTGTCCCATGGGACTAGGCTTCCTGGAGGTCAATGGCAGACAGCCTGGTATTAGCCACAGCTGAGGCATAGACGGGTTTCTCGATTAGCTGGCTATGCGGGATATGAGCTTTGCACAATCTCTTTTATAATAATGATAATATATATATATATATACAAGACAAGGATCATTCTCTTCAGAAAGAGCTCTGGAATAAGGAAGCACAGTATGAGAATGTATAAGACTACAGCAGAACCCTTGTCACACATGGGAGTGTATAATGAGCAAGGCTATAGATGGGTTAATGTTGATGGACAAAGACTGTTATATTATACTTTCAACTTTAAGGATAGGCTTGCTAGATCCCAACCCCCATGATGTCTGCTGCATAAGAAAGTACTAAAAAGTATAGTTCAACAGGTGCAGAGAACTGATTAGGAATATTTGGTCACTAGATGAAATAAAGGGTTAGGAAGAGGAAGGGCCATGATAGCGATAATGAGACAGAAACTTTCTATTCATAAGATGAAACCACTTGTCCGAGGTTTACATTCCCAAGGACAAGATTTCCTCTTCTAAGGATGCTTTATGTCTAACACCTGTTCCTGGTAATATACTTTTCTTAAATATCGCTGATGTGACTAAAAGAAGCTTTCATACTGGCCAACCAATGACACATGACCTTCTGATTTGTTCTTTGTTTAAATACTATATAATGAAAACATGAATTCAGTAAAAAGGCAGCAGATTCCAAGCACTCTCTTGTGTGTTGTGTCTGTCATTCACCGAACTTGTGCCTTCCTGTTACCAAGACCCTGCTTCTCCCACGGTCTGAGTGGCTCCCCTGAGCCGGTCCATGGCACTTTGAAGCACTGAAAAAGAAAGTTAACTAAATAAAAAACTCTATGCAGGATATTCTAGCCAGCTACTGTATCTTGTTACATTTGGGAGGCCTAAAACCTGAGCTCTGGCTGTGGTGATGTATACTTATAATGGCAGCACTAGGAAGGCAGAGACAGGTGGATCACTGGGACTTGCTGATCAGCCAGCCTAGCTTACTTAGTGAGCTCCTAGCCAATGGGAGACCCTGTCTCAAAAGAGCAGAGTAGATGGCTTCTGAACCATGTTCTCTGCCATACTCACACACACACACACACACACACACACACACACACACTAGGGTGAAGGTAGCAGCCATGTTGGATTAGAGAAGCTCCCTAGTCCAGCATGACCTTGTTTTAACTACATCTTCAGCAAGGATCCTATTAGTATCCTTGAGGTTACTGATGTCCTTGGGGTTGATACATCAACATTTGACATAGAAGAGGGAAGAATTCAGTCTTGGAGTCATGGAGAGGGACAGGGAAGCATCCTGAAGGTACTCAGGGCCTTTCTGCACTGATATCTATGAAGAAAATTTCCTTAGTCATACCTGAACCACATTTGAATCTACCAGCTTCACCTTGTTCAAGCAATGACAAGCCCCCTGCGTAGGGACCTTGGAAATGTCATAAGGTCTGAGCCAGCACTCTGAACCATGTTGGAAAGAGTCAGTGGGTAGACCCTGACCACAAGAGAGAAAAAGACAATCCCACAAGGCCCCCAGAAGTCCTAGGTGCACCTTTGTTCGGAACCAAGAGGGACACTGAGGTCCTAATCTGATGCCTGACCTGGAACATTCTCTTCTGCCTCCTGGGCCTCAGTTGGGTTCTTAGGATATATGAGATGGACACAATGACCCCCGTGTCTCTGCCATTACCAGATGTTCTCATTGGAGCCATTATCAGACTTGTGGAGTTGTTATCTGGCAAGCACACAGGCCTGAGGAAGTGGTTCAGAGCTCTTTTCCCCGAGTCCATGGGAAACTGGCTGCAGAAAAGGAAGGAGTTGAGCCTGGAAAAGGGACGGGGTTCTGCTATGTTCTGTTCCATGCCTCTGCAATGCCCATCTACATCAGCCTGGCATGCTTGCCTTCCACAGGGCCCCCAAAGCCTGGCAATGGTGATGGAAGTGGGTTTGGAAAGCAGAGACAGGCAACCCAACGAGAACCTGCATTCTAAGCTATGTTGTCTGCAGCTGGCCTGTTGTCTGGAAACCTTCTAAGACAAGACAATGCAGGCTGGGGCAGTGACTTGGACCAGCAGGTCATTCTTCAGGGACAGGGTTCAGAAGACAGAAGACAGAGAAGAAAAGGTAGCTTGGGAGCAGGAGGTCTCGCACAAGCTCTGTCTTATGCCAAGCAAACTTCTTAAGAAGTACAGTATCTTAGCTGGGCGATGGTGGCACATGCCTTTAATCCCAGCACTTGGGAGGCAGAGGCAGGTGGATCTCTGTGAGTTCAAGGACAGCCTGGTCTATAAGAGCTAGTTCCAGGACAGGCACCAAAGCCACAGAGAAACCTTGTCAAAAAACAAAACAAAACAAAACAAAAAACAGAAAAAGAAGAAGCACAGTATCTTACATGCTATTTCCAGCAGAAACTATCGAAAGGTGGGGCTAAGTCAGAGGGGAGCTAATCAAACAGTGTTGCATAAGGGGAACACAGGATATCTTAAGAACATTAAGACCAAGCACACAGCAGTCTTGAAATTGATAACTCCAGTTTCTTCAGGAGAAAAAGCCAAGTCCTGGGAACTGAAACCTTAATTCTTTTGAGGCTCAGGCCTCAACCCCAGACTGGCCTTGACAAGTTCGCTCCTGAGCAAGGACACAGAACTAGGTTCCTTTTGTCCTTACACTGGGGCCTCTGAGCATCTTTTTCTTGTCCATACACTTGAATCTTTAGGGCCTGTGGTCCTGGTTGTTGGTGGGAGGGTAGGAATCCCAAGACTCGGGGAAGGGGGAGAGAGAGAGAAAGAGAGAGATCTTACCCTCAGGCATAGGCAGTAAGTGGTGAAGTTGAGGCTCTTGGTCAGTAGGGCTTATCTGGAGTCCATCTGACCTGTGACAAGTGGGTCCAAGTTATGACTCCCCGAAGCTGGCAAGAACTGTGTAAGTTTTCAACAGAGATGAAAAAATTAGTTATATTAGCATTACCACTGTTTGTAATCTGTACTGAAAGTCTCTTTGTGGAAAGGGCAGTAGACCCACACCTTTGAGTGACAGCAAAAGTCTGGGGACCCCAAAATGTTTCTGAGTAAAAAGCATTAACAGTTTTACTCTGTCCAGACAGAGATGCTTTCAACAATGAGAAGCACTTTTAAGTCTGTACTTATAAAACAACCAAGGGAAATTTAAATTTGATTAATGTTAAAACTGATTTTAAGTATATTTGATTTTAAATAAGCTTTACTTGCTTTTAATTACATATTTTAGCAATAACCACGGAGACATATACAGGAGGTTAAATAAACCTTGTTCCTGTAATGAATTATGTTTATACTCAGCATGACTGTGAGCACAGTTCTGAGCACACTAACGAACTTGGTCATTTATAAGGTGTCTGAACATGAACTTATGTGTCTTGATTTTTTTTTTTTTTTTGATTTTCGAGACACACTCACAGCAAGTTAGTAACATTTATAAGATTGGGATTTTACAGCTTTGTCTATGTTAAGTTTGAGCCTTAAAGATTTGAGTTGAAGATTTTATTGAGGATCCTATAGCATCAAAATAAAATTTTAAGCCATAAATACAGTTCATTGAGGGACTGGGAACTTTATTTCTCTTTGTCCTTTCATAGTTCACCTTGAAGAACACCACAGCCTCTTGTATGACTCAGTTTATCCAAATTGCTAAAGCTTAATCAAGCTGGCAAAGATAAAGAGAACACATCTCTTCAAGTCAGTGTACTAACCTGGGTAGACCTTAGGAATTTATAAACCTTATTTATCAGACATATCTTACTTATTAAGTATGTATTGTTCCTTATCTAAAATTTTCTAGAAGCCTGGTATTGAGCATTTAGCAAGGACATAAGTAGTTAGACATACATCTCTAAGTCAGTTTCTGTTAACCTGAGCACACCTTTATAACCTTAGGAATTTGTCATTATGCAAAACTCCATCGCTATCAAAAATTGTTTGAAGACCTGCTGCTGCTTCCTTAGTCTGAGAAGAAGATGCAGTGGTGAGCAGAGTACTCAAGAGGCCTAGATTTTGTGAGTGCTGACTTATTTGGTCTATACCATGCGGTCTTTTTAACCAAGATGATGGTTAAGTTACATGGCATGTACTCTATTTTTTTGAGGGGGGAGGATTAGGGTTTCTCTGTTTAGCTTTGGAGCCTGACCTGGAACTTGCTCTATAGACCAGGCCGGTTTCAAACTCACAGAGATCCACTGCCTCTGCCTCCCAAGTGCTGGGATTAAAGGCCTGCGCCACCACCACCCTGGTGTATTCTTTTTTTTTTTTAAACCTTAGTAAAGATGGCTTCCAGCTACATTGTTGCTTTCATCCTGATGACATCATCAGCCAAGATGACCATGAACCACATGGTTGCTACTTAAAAACATCTGTTTTCCTAAGCAAGAATTGAGCCACGTAATATGCAGTAACAAATTAAGATGACCTATGTATAGATTTTTAAAGGATCAACCTTCAGTTACAGATTTCACAGATTTTTAACCATACCCAATAAACTTAAAAATTCTGAGATAAAATTTACATAATACTTTTAAGAGGTTTTATTTTTAGAGCAGAGAGCAAAGAAATCATAAAGATGAAATATTTTCAAGAGTGGAAAACAGAAAAAGCTTAGAGATAAAATACTTTGGGAAGGGTAGAGCAAAGAAAGCTTAGAAGAGATTTGGGATCATTTGCTTATGCAGTAGCAGAAGCTGTCACCAAACGAGAGAACTTGAACTTGAGTGCACCATTCTTCCACCGTTGAGCTGTTTGACCAGGGGTATTGAATTAAAATTGCATCAATTTTACACTGTGAATCTAAGGAAATCTAATAAAAATTTATAGCACGGATCTGTCAATATGGAGTGGCCCTTGTGAGCAATATTTGTCTTTAAACTTTTACCTACATATTCCTGTGTCTTTAAACTTACAAAACCTTATTTTAAGGTCCCAAGGGCAGGTCTTTTTGAATGAAAGTAAAGATTTTTAAGAGCAGTTTAGCACATTATAGGAACTAGAATAAGAAACAAACAAAGCATTTAAAGGGAAAAAAAATGTTTGTCTTCATTAGTGTTTCAATCGCTGTGGAGATACCACGACCACAGCAACTCCTGCAAAGAAACATTTAATTCTGTGGCTTACAGTTTCAGAGCTTCAGTCTATTATTATCATGGCAGGACATGGCTGCATGCAGACAGACATGGTGCTGGAGAAGGAGCTGAGAGTTCTACATCTTGATCCTCAGGCAACAGGAACTGTAACACTTGAAGAAGCTTGAGCATAGAAGACCACATAGCCCACCCCCACAGTGACACCCTTCCTCCAATAAGACCACATCTACTCTAATAAGACCACACCCACTCCAACAAGACCACACCAATTCCAACAAGGCTACACCTACTCTAACAAGGCCACACCTTTTAATAATGCCACTTCCTTTGGGGGCTATTTTCTTTCAAACAACCACAAGGATCTTAAGAATTTTGCTATCTCTTGTTTTACTGCTGATGCTTTCTACTTTTTTCTTCAGGCAATCTCTCTGGCCTGGCTTTTAAAAAAATTATCTATGTATTATGGCCATACTTACTCTTTTTCTTATATTCAGGTATCACTGTTTAGTCACTACTTGACGTGGACTAGCAGGTCATTCTTTGGTGACAGGGTCCTGAGAGAGAGGACCAGGAGATCAGAAGAAAGAGAATAGAAGATAAAGTTTATTATTAAAGGATCAAGAGGTCTTTCTGTCTATGTCTTCCACCAAGCAAACTTCTTATAAGGTACAGTATCTTTTAAACTATTTCCAGGGAAGAAATGGGACAGAGTCAGCAGAAACTGTTATACGATAGGGCTAAGTCAGAGGGGAGGTAACCAAACAATGTTGTACAAGAGGAACACAAGGTATCTCAAGAACATTACAGACTGAGCACACAGCAACCTTGGGACTGATAACTCCAGTCTCTTCAGGGGAAAAAGCCAAGTCCCTGGAACAGACCAGCACTGCCAAGTCTACTCCTTTTGTCCTTTTATCAGGACGTCTGAGAAAGCCTTAGATCAGCCCAGATCTCAATAGGGAGGAGTTGGGATGGGGTGGGGGTACGGCCTCTGTGGTCAGTGACAATTGCAGGCTGCGAGTTAGTCTGCCTTCTGTCCTCTCCTAAGCCAGGTGGACTGCCACTGTGACATTCAACCACATTACAGAGTAAGTACAGCTGCTGCTCTGGGACCTGGTGGGCTTGGGGAGGTAGGCAGACCCTAGGCATGCCTGTCCAAGCTGTAGTCAAGGATTCATATGGACGAGGCTTAATACAAATATCCTAAACTTACTTAAAACATTATGAGAAAATTTTTGGTGATTTTTTTTTCTTTTGTAACACCATTGCACTGTTGGTCTACAAGTCTGTCTTGAGCCATTGCCTGCATTGTTGCGTTGTCCGACCACCTTTCTACAGCAATGAGTACCACCACTTCTCTTTGTAGTCCCTAAGTTATCTCTTGGAGGATGTGGAGACATCCTTTAAGGGTGTCAGCCTACTCAAGGAGTCTCTCCCACTTTGACCCATGCCTTTTCCCTGCCTAAGAACATTTTCCTATTCTTCCATTCAGAACCGCTGCCACGATGAGGATCTTCTCCTTTCTATGCTTGCTGCTCTTCAGCCTTGGGGTAGCCTCCCGCTACCACTCCCGTTCCCAGGAGAAGAAGAAGGGAAAGGGGTCCTCTGTGAGTGCTAGGGTAACTCCCAGAAGCAAGGACTTTGCCTTCAGTCTCTACAGGGTCTTGGCTTCTGAAGCCCCTAATCAGAATGTCTTCTTCTCCCCCATGAGCGTGTCCATGAGCTTGGCCATGCTGTCTATGGGGACTGGATCCCACAGTAAGACACAGATCATGGAGGGCCTGGGCCTCAGCCTCCAGCAAAGCCAAGAGGCCGAGCTCCACAAGGGCTTCCAACATCTGCTGCAGAGGTTCAGTCAGCTTAGTGATGGCCTCCAGTTGAGCCTGGGCAGTGCCCTTTTTACAGACCCAGCAATACATATTCGGGACAACTTCTTGAGTGCCCTGAAGACCCTGTACATGGCGGATACTTTCTCTACCAACTTCGGGAACCCTGAAGTGGCTAAGAAGCAGATTAACGACTATGTGGCCAAGCAGACCAAGGGCAAGATTGTAGACTTGATCAAGGAACTCCATAGCACCCATGTCATGGTGCTGATAAATTACATCTTCTTCAAAGGTAAGCCTCAGGCTCAGACTTTCACTTCCTCTCTTTCCTGCTTTATTGCAAGGTAACATTCCATCCCCCTCAAAGAACAATTCATCCACATGCCAGCTGGATGGAAGGGAAGCAGCCACAGACAAGACAGACGGTGATTGACCAGATAGCGGCTGGCCCTTGTCACGTCATCATGATGAAACAATAACAGTGCTGACACCAAACCCTCTAGAACCAGGAATACGGATCTGATCAGGGTTAAAAGGGAAGGGAACAGGAGTCCAGGGATTCTGAAGGCAAGTGCCTTAGTTACTTTTCTATTGCTATCATAAGACACCATGACCAAGACAACTTATAGAAGAAAACACTTAAGTGGGGCTTGCTTATACTTTCAGGGTGTGTGTCTATGATCTATTATGGCAAGGCATGGTAGCAGGCAGGCAAGCATGATTCTAGAGCAGTAGCTGAGAGCTTACATGCCCACCACAAGATGAGCACGATGCATAAGGAGAAACCCTGGGCCTCATGTGTGGGTTTTTTAAAGGCTCAAAGCCCACTCTCCATGTCGTACTTCCTCTAGTAAAACCACACATCCTAATCCCCAAGCAGTCCCACTAACAGGGGACCAAGATTCCAACATATGAGCCTGTGGGGACCATTTTCCCCCAACCCACATGTCAAGGGTTTGGCAATACAGGAGAACAGGCGTGTGAAAGGTTCAGGCTGCCCCAGTCATGAGGGGATTTGGCCTTTGAGGCCCATAGATGTGGCTGCTGAGGCTCCTGAGGCTACTCTGCAGAGACACTCTTTGGACTGTCCCCACTGGTCAGGCACAGCCAAGGGTGTCTCATTTCTACCCTGTGCTTTTGCTCCTACCCCATGTTCATCTTTAGCCAAGTGGGAGACGGCCTTCAGTGACAACAACACCCACAAGGAAGATTTCCACGTGACCCCCAAGCAGACCATACAAGTGCTCATGATGAACCGTGAAGACGAGTACCACTACCTCGTGGACCGGGATATTTCCTGCACCGTGGTGATGCTCCCTTACCAAGGCAATTCCACCGCTCTGTTCGTTCTCCCCGACGAAGGCAAGATGCAGCAGGTGGAGAACGGCCTGAATGAGGGAGCCCTGAAGAACTGGCTGAAGACAGCCACAAAGAGGTACTTTCTGAATCACGCTGGGGTCACATCCCTCCACCCATGCCTGGGAAGACACATGACCCAGGACAACACAGGGATGGGAAGTGATGGCGGGGGTGGGGGGCATCTCAGGCAGGGAGCTGTCTCCAAACTGAAAGTCTTCCTGTGAAGTCCTCAGCCCAGGACCTGGCCCAGCTTGAGGGATAAAAGCTGGAAAAGTGGGACACTCCAGCAGAGATGAAGGTTCCATAGGTCTAGGGCCACAGAGGGAGGGTGCTAAGGACATCTCAGCATCTCATGCTAAGAATGCCCTTTACTCTCTCTAGGCGGTTAGGCCTTTACCTCCCCAAGTTCTCCATTGAGGGTACCTACCATCTGGAGAAAATCCTACCCAAGATGGGCATCAAGGATGTCTTCACCTCCCATGCTGATCTGTCTGGCATCACTGACCATGCCAATGTCAACTTGTCTGAGGTGAGTCTGGACACACCTGAGCACCTGCTTTAGAAATTATCACACCATGCCACCCCGTTTCACCCGATGCCAACACACCCCAAATCCCATCCCACCCATCCCACTCTATCCCACTGCACCCATTCCCAACACACCCACCCTACCCCTTTCCACCCCATTCCACCCTATCCCGTCCCACCCCACCCCACCCCATCCCATCCCACTCCGCCCCACTCCATCCAACCCCACCCCACTCCACCCCACCCCACTCCACCCCACCCCACTCCATCCCATCCCACTCAATCCCATTCCATCCAATTACCTTGTTCTGCCCCATTCTATCACTGATCCTCTTCAATGCCGTCCCACCCAATTCCATTTGGTTTCACCTCAGCTCATTCCTTTCTATCCCATTATGATTCCTTCACCCTAGAGATTCAAACAATTTCCTTTGTGCCTTGTTCTTCTTACAATGAAATCCCACATTTGCCACATGGTCTTGGAGGAACCTGTGCCTGTTTGAATGCTGTTTTGTCAATCTCTGTGTGTGTGCATGCGTGTGTGTGTGTGCGAGCACACATGCATCCATCCCAGACAAAGAGCTGTCTTTATTGAACAGCACAGAAAGCATCACACGGGGAAGGAATGGGATACTTTACAGAAATCTTCTCAGAGTTGTACAAGGGATTAAGTCGCTGACTCCAATTGACCCAGACATCAATCAGAACTACAAACATCATTGCTTATAATTTTGTTTTAGAAGATTACTTTCAACTTCCGTATCTGCTGTTTTCAGCCAATGACACACAATGTTGTCTAGATCAGGGACAATGGAAGAGTATGTAATTTAGGAGTGCATGGGGAATCCAAGGCAAGTAAGGTTGTTTATGGCACCGTTCACTCAAAAGCAGGTTAAACCAACAGGCTGAGTACACAGTAGGATGGCTGGCTTCCGTGACCTCTGGATGGATTATTAACTCTGGCTGTGAGGTTCCAGTTCCTTAGAAACACAAGCAGTATTTTTTATCACGATGCATGGCCACAACCCAGCCCTACTGTCTGCCCGCAGATGATGCACAAATCCTTGGTGGAGGTAGACGAGTCAGGAACCGTAGCGGCTGCTGCCACAGGAGCGGTCTTCGTGTTCAGATCTGCTCGGCCGAGGACTCTGCAGATGAAATTCAACAGACCTTTTCTGTTTGCCATCGTGGAAAACACGGATCTCTTGTTCCTTGGCAAAGTGGTCCGGCCCTGAGCTGGGATTCTTTCCGAAACCCACAGGCTGACCCAGAAGAAGCCATGAGGATACTACAGCTCATTCATCTGTTGGTAGTTGGTGATTTGCTGAATAGATTAACTAACAAGGTGTTACGAATAATACTAATGGTGGGTTCTCTGATCACACTTGTAAGGTATGGGTTCTTGCTCTCATCTTTCATCAGGGATTGGCACTGAGCCTACAGCGGCCACCTGCTTTCTCCGCCACTACATTTGTGTCACAGTCATACCCAGTGCCCGGGCCATTTGTGCTCAGTCTGTCACTATAAAGCTTTGTGAGAGACTGGTCACTATAGGTGACGGTCACCAGAAAGCACATTTTAAAGCCTGGTTCCCCACCTGTCAGCCCCAATTATCAGCTCATTGTGCTTTAGGAATGGGAATGACGATGCCCCTCTCTGGACCTTTGCTTCTCTGTGCATCCAGTGAAGGATTAGAGCAAGAAGTCCATCCACTGATATGTAGAAATCATTCCGCAGGCCAGTCAGGGTTGGTATAAGAACTCAGCTTAGCAGCAAACTCGAGCCTGAGGGTAGAAGTGTCTCGCCACGGACAAAAGTATCAACTGGCAAACCTGACAGGGCTGGGATGACAGAGGCCTGTCGCAAACCGTAGAACATGGATTAGAGACCGACTTGCTGATTTTCACCTTGGCAATAGCAATAAAGCATTTCGCAAAGACTGGGTCTCGTTGTCCTTTTGGAGACAGCCCTGAGGAGAGCAACACTTGCTATGTGATGCCATTATTCTGGTCTGGCTGACAGAGAAAGGAAGGCTTGCTGAGGCCAAGGCCGCTTGCCCAGTCACACGGCTTGCACATAATAGAGCCGAGATGAATGAGAGACTGGTGAGTTTCTCATCGCCGAGACCACACAAGAAGCAGCTCAAGAGTCTCTTTAGGCTCGGGTTTGAGGGGATGGTTCACCATGGCGAGGAAGGCATGGGGCAGCGGAGGGCTCAGCCGTGGCAGCAAGAGGGTGAGGCTGCTTTCTCGCACCTGAGCGGATGTGCAGGTGTGAGACAGAGAGGAAGGCTGGGCTATAAACCCCACGGCCCATTCCTCAGCTAGCCACTGTTCCATCTACGTCCCATCTCCCAGAGTTTCTCACAACCCCCAAAACAACATTGTCAGTGTTCAGATACACGAAGGGAACATTTTTCACCTAAACCATAACAGATGGGGAGTGTGGCCCCACAGCTACCCTCAACCCTGTGTTCTGCTGAGGAGGGAGAATGGAGACAGGGCAACAGGTGTGTCTGAATCTCAGCACCCTGGGTTGACTCCTGTCCTCTGGCCAAAGAGGGAATTTGGCACATCAAAAAGCAAATGAGTAAATGAATGATTGAGCAAAACTGCCACCAAACCTCAAGCTGTCCCATGGTGAGCTGACCCCAGAGCAGAGTACTTTGCCCACCCCAATGTGAATATTACAATCATGGTTCCCATGGGGCTGTGCTCAGAGCTCCGATTCCTGGATCATATTGAAGACGGGTATCCACTGGAAATAACAAGGTGTGTTTTAGTCGGGGTTTCATAAAAGAACACAAGTGAGTGTGCGTGTGTGTGCACGTGTGCGTGCACACGCACATGCGTATGCTCACACGTGTGTGCATGTGTGTGCACGTGTGTGCGTGTGTGATTTATAAGAGGATTACAGGATGCAGTTCTGGCAGTCCAACAATGGCTCTCTCACACTGGAGAGGCTGAGAACCTGACAGCCCACACCGAGGCTGCCTGTCTCAGCAGTTCCATTCGAGAATTGCAGGCCCGGAGGACCGCTGGAGAGCAGTTGATCATCAGTCTGCATTGGAATCCTCAAGAAGCTGGTTCTGATACCGGCGAAGGAACACCACAGCTACAGGACAGATGCATTTGCCGATGAGAGCAAGGGAAAGCAGGCAGAAAGCAAACTTTCCTTCTTCCTTGTCCTTTTATCTGGGTTGCCACTAGAAGGTGTGGCCTAGATTTCGGGTGGGTCTTCTTGCTTGAGACAGTCTCATGGAGTCATTATAGTTGTGGACAGCAGCTGGGTTTTAGTTGATTCCAAATGCTGTCAAGTTGGCAACCAAGGTTAGCTATCACACAAGGTCAGCACCTTTAAAAAATATTTATTTCACTTTTATTCATTTGTGTGTGTGTGTGTGTGTGTGTGTGTGTGTGTGTGTGTTTGCAGGTGCGGGTGAGATCCCTGGGAGTTGGTGTTTCAAAAAGGTGTGAGCCTCCCATTGTGATTTCTAGGAATTAGCCCCAGAGTTTGACTGCCCCCTAGAGTACTTACCAAGGACTGCTCTGTCAGTCTGCTGTGGGAACTTCATTTGCAATCGCTTTCCTTCCTCAGGACCCTGCAACAAGGTCTGTCCCTGTCTCTGGTTTACACTAAGAACTAGCTGGTGACAGCAAAGGCCTAGACTCTGACGCCTGGCACATAGTGCTGGCGTGCAGGAGTGCACGTGGCTATGACCAGATCCAGACATCTCATCAGTGACTATGCTAACGCAGTGGCCCTCCACAATCAGGCCTTACCGTGGGGTCAACCCACCCCCTCATGCCTTTCCCTTGTATAATGTCTAGTGATTCGTGGCAAATTGTGTCTCTTCCTGTTTACCTAGTCCATTGGAGGTCAGAGAGGAGTCCTGTCTAAGGGTCATGTATGAGACCAAGGTCCAGTGCTTCCAAAAGTTTACTGAACAAGCAGACAGAAAGCAAACACTAAGTGGGCCGAGAGGTGTTGGAGCAGTGCCTGGAGCCTCTGTTGCACATTACACGTGAATGTTGTCTTAGAACTTACTGGAAGCTATTGGATTCAGCTGCTACGTGATTCGGGGATGTAGAGACTAACAGTTCAGAGAGTTCAAAGGTTTTGCCAGAGAACAGCACGGAGCTGGCTTTGATGTAGGAGTGGAGCTCCATAGACAGCAATTTTGGGACAGGTAGAGGACTTGCTGACAGAGGGACCAGCTGGAGGGAAGCATGAGACAGACAAGATGTGGTGAAAGAGAAAGTACAGACACAGGCCATGAAGGAAAACAGGGGGAAAGGAAGTCGCTGTCCTGGCTGTTCAGGAACAAGGGCCTTGGACACATGGCCATGATTTTTCCTAATGTCTCTCAAAACTGACATTATATTGTGACAGTCGTTCACGCCACACCCTGAATGTCCCCCTTCCTGTCCTTCATTCCCGCCCACACATAAACTGAGACCTCCACTTGATCCTTTCGGGGACACTCACACTTTCCTCTCTAAGGCTCCACCAGTGCCTGACCCACTGGAGAAGGGCTGTTGTGTGGGGCTTCTGGGCTTCTGCACACATAGCAGCTGCTCCCTCAAGACACTCATTCTTAGCCTCCTGGGACAACCACGACACCTACACATGCACCCACAGACACTTGGACATGTAGGCTCTCCCATCCACACACCTGCATGGACACAAATTCTAAATAAATAAATAAAAATATAAATACATTTTCCTGGCTCAAGACAAGGAATTGGGATGTTGATGGCAAGGCTCTAAAGCTCTCCCTTGAGATTTGTACATACACATGGTATACACACGGTATACACATCACTTCAAAGGTAGAGCTATGTAGCATGGCTGAGGCTCTGAGGAAAGGTTAGGCCCATGTGGCAGAGTGGCAGCCCCTTCTTATAGTTTTCTCAGGAAGTAGAGTGGCAAGGAGATTGTAAAGTTTCCTTTTTTCATTTCATTCTAGGGTAAGCAAGGAGTAGTGAGTTAAAATAATAATGTTGGGGATAGATACACATCTCTTGTGGAAGACCATTATTGGGGATCGATAGTGTAGGAAGGGCCAGAATCTCTGGAAATGAATTATTTTAGTTCTGGAAATCAAATGACATTAAATTCCAGAATAGTCACAGTTCAACCAAAATGGAGGAGTTTTAGGATGGTGTGGCCCAAGCTAACAATTTCCGGGGATAGAGAGTGGGAACTACCTAGAGTTTTGTATAGCATATACCCATGGAAAGATGGACCGAAGGCCCCTCTATAAAAAGTTCAGAACAAAACTCCAGTCGTAAGAGACCTCTGAAGCACACAAGAGCTGCAAGACCCAGGCAGTAAGTGGGCCATAATGACCATCACTGAGGTGGTAGCAGGCAAACCCTTCACGCCTAATGTCAGAGTACTGCAGTGACCTCAAAGATTCACAACCGATTCCCCCAGAACAGCAGGTGACTACCCTGGGCTGCCACAGAGCAGGGGTAAAGCTCCAGGGCTGGAGTCAGGTGACCGTGACAGTTGGCTTTTCTGCTCTGAGGTCATTTCAGTCAGGCTGGTTACAGGTCATCAAGGACCAAAGTGTATTGGTGAAGAGATGGACACCATCCAGCTGGTCTGGTCCAGACCTGGTTTGGCTCAGGATCAACTGGCATGGGGATTTGAGAACCTTCACAGAAGACAGTCATCAGTGAGCCCACCTCTGAAGTTTCTGGTAGGAAGACAATAGGGGTTTAGGCAGGAAGAACAGAGCAACCATGGTAGCTGATGTGGCCTGAAAGAAGGATAGAGAGGCAGCTACCACCAAGGGAGGAATCTGGTATCACACAGTGTGGGGTAAGCCTGCATGCTGTCTTCTGACCACTTTGCCCTTACTCTCTTCCTTGGTCCTAAGGACTAAGAGGGAGACTGGTCTCTTCTCACTCATCTGCTGATGCGGAATGAATTGTCCCCAAATGCACATCTGGAAACAATAAACATGGAATACCCCACAGTGTCAGGTATCCATGAGGAGCCAGGCTGGCTGGTTAGTCCTCAGGGTCTCTCGCGAGTCACACTGTTGCCTGAAGACTTGTCACATGCTGGAGGTTCCATGTCTAAGGTTACTCTCATGACCATTTTCTTTTCCTGAATGCTGGGGACTGAACCCAAGGTCTTGTGCTTGCTGGGCAAGCCCCTACCACTGAGCTAACTCCAGCCCTTTCAAGGTTTTGATGGGAAATCTCTCTGGGTTTACTCAAAGGGCTGAGCTGAGCCCCCACCAACACCACCAGGTTGGCTTGCCAAGAACTTCTAAGGAGGAAGAGAAAGAGAGGAAGGGGGAGAGAGAAAAAGAGAAGAGGAGGAGGAGGGAGAGAAGAGAGGACAGGAGATGAGGAGAAGAGAAAGGAAGATAGGTGAGACTTGGGAAAGAACTGGACAGCTGAGGCTGTTTACTCCTGTAATCCCAGCACTAGAGAGGCTGAGTAGAGAGGCTGAGGCAGGGAAACCAGGAGAGTGTTCATAGGTGTGTGGATAAATATCAGGGACTTTGATTTGCTTCCATTGGTCCACCTGTCTGTTTTTATGATAACACCAAGCTGTTTTCATTACTGTAGTTCTGTAATAGACCTTAAAGTCAGGGATGGTGGTGCCTCCTGAAGTTCCTTTTTTTGTATAATATTCTTTTGGCTATCCTGAGTTTTTTGTTTTTTTTTCATATGAAGTTGATCATTGTTCTTTCGAGGTCTGTGAAAAATTATATTGGGATTTTGATGGGGATTGCATTGAATCTGTAGATTGTTGTTAGTAAGACTGTGATTTTTACTATGCTAATCCAAGAGCAAAAGAGATCTTTTCATTTTCTAATAGCCTTCTTCAATTTCTTTCCTCAAAGACTTAAGGTTTAGTCATATAGATCTTTCACTTGTTCAATTAGAGTTACCCCAAAATATTTGATGTTGTTTGTGGCTATTGTAAAGGGTGATGTTTCTCTGAGTTCTTTCTCAGCTAGTCTATCATCTGTATATAGGAGGGCTACTGATTTCCTTGAGTTAATCTTGTAACCCCCACATTATTGAAGGTGTTTATCAGCTGTAGGTGTTTCCTGGTGAAATTTTATGGGTCACTTATGTAAACTATCATATCATCTGCAAGTAGCAAGAGTCTGACTTCTTCCCTTCCAATTATCTTCCCTTTATCTCCTTTTGTTCTTACTGCTCTAACTAGAACTTTGAGTACTATACTGAACAGATTTGAAGAAAGTGGAAAGCCTCTATTTCAGTCTTTAAGTCTTGAACCATTGCCTTTACCTGCTTGATTACTTTTTTTTTTTTTTTTTTGGTTTTCTTTAAGGGATTTATTTGTTTCTTCCATTTTTGTTTGTCTTTTCCTCTGTTTCATTAAGGGGGGGTTCATTTTCTTTTTTTAAGGGCCTCAATCATCTTCATAAAGTTATATTTAAGGTTATTTTCTTCTGCTACATTGGCATTGGGGTGTTTAGTTCTTGCTGTTGTAGAGCCGTTAGTTACAGGAGGCGCTGTCCTATTCTTTATGTTGTTGAGTGTATCCTCACACGGTTGTCTACCCATCTCTTCCTCCAATCAATACAGGGGTAGCCAGTGCTTTAGGGGGTCTTTCATTCTCCAGTTGGTGTAGTTGGGGGTATGTTTGGCTCCATTGATTGCTCCTTTATGTGCAGGTAGAGAAAAGCCTCCAGTGCTTGCTCTTCTAGGTGCAGGTGCTTCTGTGGCTCTGTAGGTGATTAATGTGACTGGGTATCACATGCACAGAATAGCACCAGAAGCTGGCTGGGGCACAGGTAATCTTTTCCAGAGGAACTTTTCACTATAGTTTCTGGAAATGGCTTCTGCCACTCACACTTCTACTCCTCCCCAGCAGGGACTCCCAGTCACACCTCACTGCTCATGCTTCCACTAGAGGGGACACCAGGCCACACTGCTGCGGCTCCAGTGGTTTTCCCTGGTTTGAGCACAAAATAGAAGCAAGGAGGCAGTAAAAGTAAAAATTATCAAATGAGATCGCTTCAGAAGTAGAGAGATTTATTAGGGATCAAATTGTCAAGTCATTCTCTTGGGGAGCAAGGAGAAGAAGCAAAATATCAGAAAAGAAAGCAGCTTTTATAGGACAGCAGGGTAGGAAACTTTGAGCTGATTCAGACTGTCTGGATTGAGGGGGAACTCGGTACCCTTGCTGAGATAGCTGACATTTGTGGGAAGTTTAGGATGACTCCTGGAAAGCATAAATTTGCCATAGGTAATCTCTGGTAAACAGAGACCTGCCTTTAGGCCTCTGTTTGTCCAGGCAAAATCCTTCATGTTCATTTGGGGAATTTCATCTTTGGATCTAACTCT